AAGAACTTGTGTCGCTTAAGTTTCGTCGGAACGAAGTTACGGAAAATTAATTAACACACGGAGAAGTAACAATATGTTAGGATAGACCAATCAAATAGAGGCTTTTAATACTTTTGATGGAACTTACCAATCGTTCAAGTATCTAATTTCTGTGACTTAAAGTTTCATGTTGTATGGTCCCGTTTTCCCTAACTCAAACGATATATATGAAGTCAATCATGATATAGACAGTCAGTCGTCTAACTGATCTTTTGATGGATTTTTTAAAATATCATTTGTTGCTTCATGAAACCTGTACAGAAGATAACTATTTGACACTGTACCTTTTCAGAGATTTTAAGGAACCTCTTCATATCTTTTCGACATATCAAAACATGGCTATCCTTGATCTTCCTTCATTACTTGACCATCTTATGATGTAATTGTACTCAATTATCACTATTGTTGGGGTAATAAAGGTATGATAATGATTTAATTTGGAAGCTAGAATGTTCATTATTATTGATCATTAAGATACGTAGTGAGTACAACAACGTCTTTGTAGAAAAGACATTCAATATTTCAAAAACGTTTAAAAAATCTAAACTTTACAGAAAAATAAGAACATGTAATATATAAATGAATTTTACTCAGGAAACGCTATACTGAAATCATAAAACCCCTGTTAAAAAACCTATAGAGTGTGTTAAGAACCAATGTGGTAAGTTCCATAGAATACTTCAACAGAAAATGTTTTGTGGGAGTAATTACGTATTTCCTTACCCTTGACTGAATTTAGCAAAGAAAGAGGATGGACACAAAAAAATCGAGTGAAACAATCTTTATATATATCGTTCAAACACACACACACAAACAAGTGTCATTATGATAGTTTTACTGAAATATCTCTTCTAGAATTCGGTAAAAATCTATTATAAATTGAGAAAACAACATTATATATATATATGAAACAATAATATTCTTCTTCTTAGGATGCCTGCGCTACTCATGTGACTATTGATCATCGAAAACAGGTAACGATGGCGAAAGGAACTTAGCTACTTCCTCAACTGACGATCTAAGTTAAAACTACATAAGTGCAAAAATTATATTAAATTGGGTTGATAGAAAACACGTAGTATGCTTGCATGCTGCAGCAGTAACTCTAAGCAAACAATAGCCTAATTTACCTAATTCAAAGACCGTGATTCCATTTAAGTATTACTCAAAAACCACATGGTACAATTTATTAATCTAATCGCCAAGCCATGTTATTATTATTTAATTCCTTATTAAAAATTAGATGCATTAATTAAATTAATAGTTGAATTATTCAGCAAGAATACGTTTGAATTTAATTATGAAGAGATTGTGCTTCTATATTCTACTTCTAAAATCATTACTAAATGTACTACCATGAATAGCATATAACCTTCTACTCTTTTTGTTGTGTATATCTATTATTAGGAAATACTTTTTTATACAGTCCCTTAACACTAAAATAAACGGGAATTAAAATTTTTGTTTATTTGTTTGTTTAATTGCGACCTACGCTTGCTGTCCCTAATTTTGAAGTGATAGACTGGAAAGAAAGCAGCTACTCAAGACCACTCACTGCCAACTCTTCAGCTACTCTTGTCAGATCAAATAGAGGGATTTGACCGTTACTATCATAACGCACACACGGCCCCAAATTATGTAGTAATTTTTCCTACTTGGAGACTACTGAGTATTTCACTTTAAACAAGTGCATTGAGGTTATTAAATATTTAATATCACAAGTTAACACTAAACGATAACAAGGGACTTTTTGGTTCATCTAGGGTATTCTATCAACTAAATTAAACTAAATACTAAAAGATCACCTCAAAGCCAGCTATTATTATTCAAAAATGTATCAAGATTTCCCCTAAACTCCCTTAAATTAACTGCATCCACCATATTAAAAGGCAACCCGTTCCAGAGACCAATAACCCGGTTAGAAAAATAAAACTGTCTTAGATGAAGATGACTTCTTAATTCCCTGTCAAAAATTATATTTGTGTCCCCTAGTCTTACTATTCTCACCATTAAATATGAAAAAACAAACAAAAACATGATACATTAACACTATCAGTTCCCTGAACAATCTTAAACACCTTAATCAGATTCCCTCTAACTGTTCTTTTTTCAAGAGAATACAAGTTCATAGATTTTAACTTATTATCGTATGATAGCATTGCTATCCCAGGTATCATCCTAGTAGCCTTCCTCTGAATCCTTTCTAACAGTTCAATACAATTTTGTAAACTATCAAGTAAATTATTTTATATACTAACGAGACAGATTATGCGTTTTTAGAAATATATAATGCAAAAATAACCGAATCTTTTTTATAATTCTGTATTTTATACTATTTCACCAAAGAAGTAAATTTGTTACTAAACTAATCATTTGAAGAAAAAATTAATTCACAGTGGGAGAGGATGATTGCTAATCGCGTGTTGAACTTGTTTAAGCATGAACGGTGCTTTTTCTACAATTTTATATAAATAGGTGATATTTCACACACTTTCTTAATGGTAAATAGTATTTCATTTTAATTCAATACTTAAATAAAAACATACATTTCAAAAATATAAATAACATTTCTACAGTATGTTTATGTATTTTCCCTTTCTACGTAAGAATACGCATTATCTATATTTCTTTTTTAATCTAAAGTTGAAAATTTTGAAAGACCCCTAGGAATAATAGTAACGTATAACATTAGTAAAAATGGCGAGTGATGGTGAAGCGAATAATACGGAAGGTAATTTGTGTCTTTTTTTTTTAATATATATGGAATTTACGAGATCCCGTTCTTGTAGAATAGTGTTTTACATTTAAGATATTTTAAAATACTGATTATCTTCCTTTGAATTATTATGTAGGTTACGTGTTTCAGTTAATTTCTACAATTTGATCATATAAATATTATTATTTAATTTATAAATAATAATAATATTGCTCAACTAAGGAGAAGAGAGGAAATTACATGTAATTTATATTGTAATACATTTTTATTAAATAAAATAAAAGTGCTAATATACTAATAACAGTGATAACTATAATATTAATATTGCTTCACTGTTCACACATTAATGATAAACTCATAATAAACTGATAAAGTGGTAACGTTTAAGTTTAATCTATCGATAATATACTCGTGAATCATCATCCACTTAAGTCTTAACTTAAGTAGTTAAATTTAAAGTAACATAATAAATTGATTAAGACTTTGCTTGATAATTTTCTTTGACTGCTAGTGCAAGAAAGGATACTGTTAAAATTTACGTATTATGTAGTCCATTTATAATTTATATTTCTTTTAAATCGCTAAGGGCTCAGATAAAATTACCCATTGCATGGGAAGTATGTTGTGTTGGTGCCTGTAGTAAAATTGAAAGGCTAAGAGTTAGATTGTTGTTATAATTCTAATAATAGAAGGAATAAGTATAACTTAGATATGGAAGCCCAGATGCAGGCTGCTTATTAGTTATCAGGCAAAAAAATTACAAGACTGAAATTAGATTTTCTCCTTTTGAACATTGTTCTTATTTTAAAATGGGGAAAACATTGTTTGGTTGTGGTGCTTTATTTATTTTGAATGTGTCAGTCTTTATTTACCTTCAAAGGATTAACAACTACAGGAATCATATCAATTCTAGTATTTTCTACAAAATATATAAGGTCAGAAATAATGCTAACTTCTTCTTCCTTTTTGAAAAACTGAAGAAAACCACATTTAAAATACCAGTTATCACAATATAAACCTCAACAGCAGCCTTTAGGTGCTCAGTCTCCATTTTAACACTTACTTATGACATACCTTAAAAAAATCCTTGCTATTAATTTTAACATTATCAGTCAGTATTTCTTGTACAACTTTTTGTGATTTAATTATTTCTTAACTAAATTTTAGGATTGCTGTAGTTGTGTAAATCTTCTATCCCAACTGTCAACTTCTTAAACGTGTCATACTTTTCTTGATTTTCTCCTTTATGTCCCTAGTACACCAGTTAGGTTTGATCTTCACTGTCATCTTTATTTGCTTTTAAATAATTACCAATTCTTTTACACAACCTAACTGGTGATTGATATAATTAAACATTTTGACTTTTTTGTCAATATTTAACATGATACAAGTAGAACAAGGAACCATTTGGCCCTTCATGACTGTCTTTACATACTTACAATTGGAAAAAGTAAAAATTTAAATCCACCTTTTATTTTCAGGAAATAATTGATTTCCTTTCATAAATTTCTGGCCTTCACTACTGCTGAGCTTAGCCTGTTTTTTCAAACTTTTACACTTGTATCATCTCATTCTGTTATCTACAAAATGTAGTACAAAGCAGTCAGAGGCTCTTATTCCATTGATCCCCTGGATAATCCTATAAGCTTCAATAAGGTAATCTTTGGTTTTGGTGTATAGTCCTTTTCTCACCACTAATAATCTAAGGACTTTAGGTCTTTGGATAAGTTAACATGTGCCAGCACATGCTATCCAAACACCTAAAGTTGTAATTCACTAGTAGTGAATTATACATCAAAACCATACAAATTGTTTACATCCCACCACTATATGAGGCCACTTTATTTATTTGCTTCACTCTTTCAAATAACACTGATGAGTGAATTCAGCCCTTATCATTTATCAAGCCTTCTCTTAAGTACTATCAATTTCCTTAACAATCTTAAACACCTCAATAAGATCCCCTCTAACTTATCTGTTTTCATGAGTAAACAATTTCATAGATCTTACAATGTTCTTGTATGGCAACCTTTCAATCTCTGGTGTTATCCTAGTAGTTTCCTTTGAGCCCTTTGCGGTAAGTTATTATCCTGTATATACACAGTATTCCAAGTGAGGCCTAACTAGTAAGTTGTATATAAAGATAATTACTTCATATTTTGATTTGTGATCAACATGTCTATAAATATATCCTAAAATTCTATTAGTTTTACTACTAGCAACAGTGCATTGCTTTGATGGCTTGAGTGAGGTATCAGCACTATGCCACGATTCTCTTCTTCAATTACTATTGAGTAAGTTCCCATCTATAATGAACATGTGATCCAATTTAAAATAATCCAAATTTACCTTGCACTTGTTGTGATAAAAGGTCGTTTGTCAAATATTTCTCCAACTTATCATTTCATCCAAGTCATTCTATAATATTTCAACATTAGTAAAGCTAGAAGTACATGAGTTGAATGTCATCACCAAACTTTACAAATGTACTAATTATACATGTAAAGAAGAAAAAAAGCCTTCACATTGACCTCTGAGGCACTCCACTAGTAGCAAGTGTCAAGTCTGACTATAGACCATTAATGCATTTAGCTTTCTCCAATTCAGCCACCCAATGACTCAGTAAAGTAGTCTTTCCCCAACTCCTTACCAATATGATTTTATTAGCTAATATTTTGTATGGCATCTTATGAAAAACTTTTTTGAAAATCTGAATAATCAAGTTTACACTCTTTTGTTCATCTAGGTAACAAGTAACATACTCAGAAAAAGGTACATATTACTAAGGTAAAATTTCCCTATGATGAATCTGGAGGTGTATATTGGTTTTTCACTTATACTCATACTTCACCAAATGATTTTGTAATGCTTCTTTTACCAGACTTTAGAATTTTTCCCCCTCTAAAGATAAAGACTAACTATCCTATTATTTTCAGGTAAATTCTTATCACCAATTTTCTTTTTAATTAGGAAAAACATAAACAATTTTCAAATACTCAGGCACCTATCGACTGTTTATTAACCTTCCAAAAAATGAGAGGTGGGGGGAAGAGGCATGCTTATCAGTTTGTGGTAGAAGAAAGTAAATACCAGATACAATATACAGGGAGACGTGCATTTTGGAGGTCCTAGAGGTTATGCAAATGGAATATGCAAACTGTATGATGGACAAAAGTATTTTTATTCTCTACATTAGCATCACCTTGTACTTTGGCTGTCTGAGTCCAAGTCAGACTGATGTTGTCAATTCAAAGACATATCTTGACTACAAATACTTTTCTAACATAGTTGATTTTTTTTTGTATATACATGTACATTTTAATAAAAGCATGCCACATTTTGTGTAAGAAAAATAGTACATTTGGAACTATACTCAACATTTCTTCTACAATTTTGAGGTTAGTTTAGTTCAATTTTGTGGATGGGACAGCCTAGATGGACCAACTGGTTCTTTATTGCCCTTAAATTGTATGTTATTTCTGAATAATTCAAGTTAATTCCATTATTTCCCAGACATACTCAGGGTTAGGAATATTGCTGATTCTTCAGTTGTAATTACAACAGTTAAATTTTAATAAGAGTCTTGATACTTTTCTATTTTGATTATTGTTTATATCTTTAATATATTATTTCTGCCCTTCTCTCCACACCCATAGCTTGTGAATGGAAATGTTACAACATAATATTAAATAAGCACTAGATAGAAATAAGTAATGGTGATTAGCCTAAATATCATGTGAATAGAAAGCATGAGACCTGACAGACACACCAAGTTATCAGGTGAATGAGATTTGTACAGGACTAAAAATACTTAGAATGGTAGATGATAGAGTATGGATAAGAAAGAGGAGAGTCAACAAAAACTTAAAACTTGGCATAACTATAAGAGATAGGTAAAAGTTATAGCAAAGTTGAGTATTATCTCTGAGTTATTTGTTTTAAACATGGTACCATTAAATATTATTTTGTTTGTAACTATAACATTATATCTATTGGCTTAGGTTGCTCATCAAATGGTGATCTTTTAGAGGCTTCTGTCTGTTCAAGTGCCAAAGCTGAAATTTTGAAAGAAATGATAGACTTCAAAGTAGTGTACAATAAACAAAAGTTTGATGTCAGCTTTCCATATGATGAAACAGTTGGATCACTGAAACAACATATACACACCTTGACAGGTAAGTTTCTTAGCTTAATGAAGCAGAATGATTGAGAAGATTATACAGTACATGCAAAACAAGCACTGCCTCACTGGACTCTGGACAAAGGATTTTGACCAACCATGCATCCACTTGAGGGTGTGATGAGAATGTGTTTGAACACTTTTGTGCACAGTCTTGTTATGGTTGTATTCAGTAGTGAAACATTTGGAACACTAGTAGATTGTTGATGTAGACTTAGCAGTAAGTATCTTCCATTTATCTGATGGGTTCTGACATGAAACATCCATGTGTCTTCCCTGAAGTTTAGCCATGTTCATTAGAATTAGAAAGAAATTAAACATTCTAAAATAAAAACAGATTAGCTTTATTACCTTCTTGAATGATCTAGTTAAAGTAATTCATAACTTTTCTGATTAACTTTTAAATCACATTGAGAAAAGAGTGTTAGCAAGAGTGTTAACGTTTTTAGTATCTCCCCCACTCCCCCAAAATTGCTTTTGCAGAATTGTTTTCATCCATTGAACTGTTTCACAGAAAATTTCAAGTCCTCTCAATTTTGTTAAATACTTAAATGTTTTTGATATTGAACAATCATATCTGGTACTACCTTGGATTGTTTCCTAGAGTACAATGAAAACCTATACCCTATAATATTTCTAAAGGTGACAGGAAAGCATTAAAAAACTTACGAAACCCAAAATTTTGTTATTTTAAAATCTGGTAAATATAATGGTGATATACTGAATAAAGGTGATTATAATAAAAAAGTTTTAAATATTTCAAATGATCTTTAGAAAGAAGGGGTTGCCAACAAGTAGGTGTACAATAGAGTCTGACCTGTGAAATTTTAGTCTAGAATTTTATATGGATTACCAAAGGTTCACAAAATTGATATTTCAATAAGACTTGTACTATCTAACTATGGCACACTTACTTACTTAGGTTTTTTAAGTTCCATTTCTTAAAGAGTTTATCAAAAACAATATATAGTTTCAAATTTGCTTCATTTGTTAAAGACTTTAATTTGGAAATGCTTCTTACTGTCTACACCATTAAGAGCTATTACCTCATGCACAACTGTCATGAAATTTTCTATGTGTGCCCTAAGCTTTGGACAAACTCTCACCTCTACACATGTCTATGTGTACTGTGCCAACCTATGACATAATAGTCATAATGGTGTACTCTTCCACTGATAGGAGGGTGACACAACCTCCATGCATGGTAATCTCCATTAACACTAACACATGATCATAAGCTCATTTTTTCCTCAACACTATTTGTGTTCAAACTTTTTTTTTCTTGTAATTCTTGAGTTTCTAGTCACATTAATTGACTGCCTTTCTTCTTATAGTGTTACATTGCTTTTATCCTTGTTGAACTTTTGTCCTGTCCACCTGATTACAATTTTGTTTTCTCTAACATCTTCATTTATTCTTTATACTATTTTTAATACCTTATGCGAAATTGAAAGAAAAAAAAATATATATATATATTTATTTATCTCAAAATCCAGACATTCTTTTTCATCATTTTATTCAACTGATTCAGCATATGCCAGGTCTTGGATTTTACTCTGTGGTGAGATACTTTGTACATAATGAATAAGTTAGCTTCCACAACCTTATTAAGCTGTGATGAACCATGGTGTGCCAACAAGTTAACTGATAATGTTCCCGCTTTCATGCATTAGATGGTTGGTTCACTTCTGCCTATTTCTTCTCCAGTTCATGTCACCATTTTCTTTCTTTACATTCTGTGAATGCTGCTTTGCCAATGGACAGTTTTGGCTGCTCTTCCACCTTCAGCTTTGCTTTCTGATTCTTCTCTCTCTGATGAGGAACAGGTACTTCCTCCTTTACTGTTTGCTTACACTTATGAGTCAGGTATGTGATATTTTATCATTTTTATTTGTAAATCATAATTTTTCCTTGTGTCCTGTACTGGTTCTCTTTTGCTCAGACTGCCAATTTTCATGGAAACCACTGTCACCTATTTCTGCTGTGGTAGACATCTTCCTCTTGGGACTTGTCACTGTTACAGCCTCTGTTACCTATTTACCTGGCCTTTGGATATCTTACAGGCTGGGCTGTGGACTACACTAAGACATCCATTTCCCATTGTGTACCTCATTGAGCAGTTTCCTGTGTGTCCGGTTTTTGCCTCCCTCCAGTCTATCAGGATATTTTAGAGTGGTTGTGTTTTTCAATCATCTCCTTCTCATTCATATATTTCATGGAAGCTACTTGTGGGTATCATGGTTTTTATACACCTTTCACATATTGCAGGTTCTTCAACAAAACAAATCAAACTGAGCTGAAGGAGGCAAGACTCGCCATATCATATGTTATATGAAGAAATACATCTTATGTTGCTTATGCTTAGTGCCATTGTCATCCTCTGAGTGACTGACATTGCTTCATGGGAAATACCTGAAATCTACATTGAGCAGGGAAGAACAGAAAGCATTCAATCCATCAGCCCCTGCTTAATGCCCACTGTTGAGATGGGGTTTTCTGCAAGACTGCTTTGGCACAATATTTCTGTAATTGATATAGCCATTTCTGCATCTTTTACAAAAAATGACAGAAAAAAACATCACCAAGTAAGAGATCGGTTGGACCCACCCATCGTTGGAGTGTTATCTGAAAGTGTTGTACTAGACACCCACATTATAATATCTCACAAGCAGTTCCTGGTGAAAATATCCAGCCAAATAGGACTTAGATTCACTTTGAGATGTACAGTATCCTTTACTGTAAGTCTCTCTGTAATGTAAATGTAATATATGACTGAATAAATAACAACAAGCTGGGCAAAGAGAAGGCTACAGTTATCCACTGGGTAACCACCAGTCTTGTAGAAGTCACACCTCATTGGCTTTCTCTTCCTGTCACTAATTCAGAAACATGCTTATCTTTGTAATTGATCAGCTCCTCCACCATTTTCAAGTTTTTGAAGTTAACAGTTTCCTTACCTGAAAATGTATTTCAGACAGATACTTACCTTTCTGCACCATCTTCCCACCCTTCTTCCCCACTTTGGTGAATTTTCTTTGCCTTATCATGAATGAGCCTATGATCATGTGCTAGTGAAAATCATGCATGGAGGTTGTGTCACCCTCATATTGGTGGAGGACTACAGCATTATGATAATTATGTTATAACTGGCACAATACACATAGACATGTTTAGGGTTGGGAATTTGTTCAAAACTTGTGCCATGTTCAGGAAATTCCACAGCAATTGAGTGTGAAGGTAACAGCAGAGGTATCTATCTGAAATACTTTTTTCAGGTAAGGAAAACGTTAGCATTTGATAACAGTGCTTGTGCTGTATTTGATATAACATCTCTATATCAAAACATTTCACTTAATGAAGTAATAAAACTGAGGTTTGGCCTTGATAAAAACATAATTTGAAGATTTATGGCTTGATGAAGTATAAAAAAACACTTCAAATCAAGCAGTCTATAGGTGATAAACTACTTGAACCAAACCTGAACATAAGTGAGTATGTTTCATTACTAAGGCTGAAAATTAGAGTCGTTATCATCAAACTGTGAGTTTTTTTTTTTACATTCAAGTGATACTTCTCATTCATAGTGAGTAAAACCTCGCTGCTGATGAGACTTGTTTTCCAAATTGCTTGATAAGTTGAATGCAAGGCAAAAAGCTAGAGAAACATAGTGAACATTGCATAATTTTCAGAATTAACCTTTTGTAGTGCCCTTTCCCATTATTATTTGAAAGTATAAATAATAAATCGAAATCCCATTCAAAATACAGTCGTGCATTTTTTCATAATCTGAAAATGACTGAAGAATATATATATCTAAATGTATCACTTGTACAATTAAATATACCAAAAACATCTGAATCTCTTTGAGCATTGCCTACATTTTTGTGATGCTAACTATGCTATTTCTATATTAACTCTCTCAATATGGGCTCTGTCAACTTGACCGACCACATGACTTTTTTATACTCATTTAAAGTCTTTATAGATTTAATACTTATAGCTCTCCTTTTTGTGTGTACATCTTCACAAAATTTGGCAGTCTTTCAAATACCATTACAAGTTTTTCACATACAAAAAATGATATTTTTTTAGGGAATTATTTTTAATATAATATAATAAAGAGTTGTCCATGAATATATTGAGTGTTTGCTTTTAGTAGTCCATGGGCAAAGTAATTTCATGTTAAAATTAAAAATACTTTTCCTCATCTCAAAAATCTCATATTTCTTTGTGTAATCCCTAAAACCTAAATGCATTTCAAACGTTTTTTTTCAGTAAAACTTTATAGTTTATTTGTTTTTTC